TGTTCATCTTGGAGTCAATAATGACTCCAAGATCCCTTTCCGCCTCTGTGCTTTCAAGAGGGGAACTCCCCAACCTGTATGTATGCTGTGGATTCCTTCTCCCAAGGTGCAGCACCCTGCATTTGTCTACGTTGAACCTGATTTGCTGTTCCTCTCCGGTATGTTTCTACAGAGGGGGACCTGAGGCACGGAGAGCCTAAGGGCTTATCTATACCAGGTCGTGGGGCACAAGGCTGACAATACCCCCCCACACTAGTCTGGCTGCCCCATCAGACCTGGGTGACAGCATCTGAAATCCCTTCTCGGATGCTTCTATTTGAAAACTCCCTGCCTTGTTTCTGTAGCCCTCCCTTTGTCTTTCACTTTGCAGAGCCAATGGAGCCAAAGGTACCAACTGTGCTGAAGGCAGGACCACCCCTTCTTGAGTATGAATTAAGAGCAGGACTGCTGAAGGGTAAGGAGTAGGGGTTGAGAGCTGGGGGTGTTGATGGAAGGGGAAAGAAATGAACATGTGCGGAGAACCTCTGAAGGGACTAGTCTTTCAATATGGGGCTTGTGACAATGAAGCAGGTTAGCAAGTCAAGGCCATTCCTTGGGGTTCTTCCTAAGGAGCTGACCAAAAGCTTGGAGTATTACCAAAGTGTTTTTATTGCAGGCCCTGACAGTGGGCCCTTTGTGAGCTCAATGACGCTACATCTAATTGTAGTTTGCAAAAGCGAAATACAACGGCCAGGACAAGAATAGTCCATTGCCTCACGGGGCTGTGTAAGAATTCATTCGTGGGAGGGAAGTGCTTTGGGATCGCTATATGAATGATAACATCAGGTATAGTTCGCAGGGCACAAAATGGCACTTACTATTACTCAGTTGAGTGATGGAGGGCATGTCTGCACCACCTCTGGGCTATGCCCCCTCATGCCTAATGCTGGATGCAAGGAAATGTAGCTGCTTTGGAGAAGCCCTAAGCATGCATCCACAAATTTGACCAAGACAGAGCCTGAGAGCAGTGCTGGGCATGTACCTAGGGCTGTTCTAGGGCAGCGATGCTGCCTCATGGTTGAGCTGGCACAAGCAGCATGGGAGCGAAGGGATGAGGCATGGTTGACAGTGGCATTCCTAGGTGTAGCCCAGGTGCAACGTAGACATACCTTTAATGAAAGGGACCCAGTTCTCTCACTGAGAATGGCTCCTATCCCATCCCCGCGGTGAAAGTCAGCGCCATAGTAAGGGGACTGGGGCAGAGTAATTCCTGAGTACATCAAAGGAGGGAGTCTCTCCCTTTCACACACACACACTCACTCTCTCTCCCTCCCTGATGTTCTGCCTCTGGCTTCTGTCTCAAGCAAGACTCAGATGCCAGCTCCAGACTGGCCGTATTTAGGCACAGAGCTTTCCCCAGGGAATGCCGAGAAGCTTAATCACTGCAAGCAGCTGCCAGGCTTCTGGCAACTGAGCCCAGAGCGGGGATTTATCTCCCTGGCTGCAGCTGAACTACACATCAGGTGGCACTGCACAGGGCCATAGAGACCAGGAAGACAGTCCCAAGAGGCTACTCCAGAGTTAGTGGGTAACAGCTTCCTCACTCGCCCCTTCCAGGCCACCAAATCTTAAGTGGCAGGCAGTCTCCTGCTGGGCACAGCTCCCTGATCCTAGGAACTTCATGTCTCCACACATGCCACCGACTTAACTCTCTTGGCATTTCTCTCTCCCTGCATTGCAGTCATCCCTTGGGTCAAATGCAGTCTTTAATTGCTGCTTTTATACTAGAAAGGACTTCCTGGGACCCAGTGATGTTGCAGGCATCACATCATATAATCCCTTTTATCATTTTTCTCCATTGAAAATGATTAGCTATTTTTGGCTTCTGCTACTCCAATCAGAGGCAGTGACATCACCTGCCTGCCAGGGACTCGGAGCTCTTTGCAGGCATTCCTTAATGCAACTACTTAAAACTCCTGCCATTGTCTCTATTGCTATTTTTAGCACTGGGGAAACTGAGGTATATGGAGGTGGACACAAACTGCCCGTGGCTGCCCAGTGCCTCTGTGCAAGAGCTAAGATCTTGTGACAACCAAGCCTGCGTCCTACCCATGGCTACTGTTCCCCCAAGTGTGCTTTGCATTCTCCATCTTCAGAGCACTGTCCAGACCCAAATAATGACACAGGCAGGGGTGAGGAGGAGGGAGAGGTTAAGGCCTAAAGAGGAAACAAAGCTTTTATATTGCCCAGGTTGAGACCGTTCATATGTGTGTTGCTTGCAGATCACAGGGATTTGACCTTTGACCCTGACACAGCCAACAGGCACCTGCAGCTGTCCAGTCACAACCAAAGAGCCAGTCACCCTCGTTCTCATAATGACCAGGGTCAGAATCAGGCAAACAGGTTTGAGCTGTGGCAGGTGCTGTGCACCCAGGGCTATGGCCAAGGCCACCACTACTGGGAAGTCGGGCTCTCCAGCCACTCCATCGTTGTAGGGGTCACGTACAAGAGCATCCAGAGGAAGAAGCAAGATGGTGGCCACAAATTCAACATTGGAAAGGATGGGTCTTCGTGGGGGCTGCAGATCCGGGAAGAATGCTACCTGGCATGGCACAATGGCCAGTCACTCAAGGTCAAAGAGCCCTTGTACAAGTGGATTGGAGTCAGCTTGGACTGTGACATCGGGTGTCTTTCATTCTATGGCATTGGGGACAAAATGAAGCTCCTTCACCGTTTCTACTGTGACTTCAGGGAGCCCCTCTACCCAGTCTTTTGGCTTTGCGAAGGCAGAACAGTCATCCTTTACTAAAAGAACTGAGCTAGCAACTTGTAAGCTGAATCCACGCTGTCACCAATGCATTTTTCCCCATCTTGCAACTAGCTTCATGGCTTTGCTTGGCAGACATAGAAATGGATGGCAGCCTCCTCATGCTACAGGCAGGCCTGGAGAGAGCACAGTGCTGCTATTTCAACAGGGACAAGGCTGGCAGGTTGCAATGACTTTAATGAGAAGAGAGACCCTTCAAAACCAAAGCAGTGTAGCTGGAATGCAGGTTGGTTGATCTGCATATGCAAATGAGCCAAGTGGCAGTAGACCTGCTCCCTTGTCTGTAACAAAGATCTCTTTGTGGAAGAGATGAAGCTGGAGGGATTTAAAAGGTGACTGACATGTGCCCATGGTGCAAAGTCCGGTGTCCCCTTCCAGCCCATGTGGTGAAATCAACACAAATAAAAGGGCAGTTACTTGAGAGGCTCTACTGGAATGGGGAGAGGAAGGGAAAAGGCAGAGCTTGGTGCCCATTTCCTCTGCCTCCCAGAGCCCCGGACAGCCACCACCTGGCTTAGATCTCAGGATCTGTGGCTGTAAGGAGATGCTGTGCATAGAAGAGATGCCCTTGGGATAGGCTCTTCACGGCTGTGGTGCCAAGTTGGGATGAGGAGGCTGCGTTACAGACCCGAACACTAAATCAAGGTGGATTCCTCGTCCAGCTTGCTGACACTCAGGGATGGCTCAGAGGAGGAATTCCAGCCTGGCCTCTTTCTAACCTAGTGTGTTTTCCTCTCGTCCAAGGACTCCGAGCATCCAGAGCACAGTAGAGGGCATCTACGGGATGTAAACTCTACCTGTTTGTCAGCAGCCCCCTTCTGCATTAAACTTCTATTTTTTTATCTCCTGACAGTTTGCCTTTTGGTTTAGGATCAACAGAAGGGGCTGGGTTGGCAGCTTTGGGTGGGAGTGGGGGAAGAGGTCATTGTATCCACAAAACATGGACCAGCTCACCCGAGCTTCTGAGACCCTGCCCTGACCAGCTGCCTCCTCACAGTCTGGTCCTACCCCTCCCTGACACAATCGTGTCCCAAATTTTTGTGAGGAAGAACTCCGGAGGGAGATGAGTTTGCTTTGTGGCTGGGTTGGGAACGTACGAGTTAAAGAGACTGAGATATCTGGTAAAAGGGAGGGCGGGTTGGAATCTTGTAATAACTCATAAAACCACCAGCTGCAAAACTCCACAAGCCAGGGAGCGTTTCATTAGCTGGGTGGGGGTTTGCTTTCCACCATCACCCAAGCTAGAACACGCTAATGGGGGGAGCTGGGCCCAGCTCCTTGGGGGACAGCCTGGGATCATTTTACTGTTCTTGCTCTGGTTGCCTCTTTGGCAGGACAGAAAGATCCTGGCTGGCATTAAGGGAAGATGCAGCAGGCGGCTGGGGGTGGTTAAAAAGCAAAACTGGCAGCATGAAGCATTTATTATTCACAGGCCTTACTTGGTTTCAGTTAAAATGGGCAAATTGGCAACAGCCAGATGGCAGCAAACAAGAGGCAGCGCTTTCTGTGTGGGTGAGTCAGTGTGTACGGGATTGATTAGAAGGTCTTAGATTAACTTGTATTCGTGTACACGCGCCGTGGCCCCTTGGTCTTCCGGACTGGCTGTGGTCATGGCTCAAATTGGAAGTGATATCAACAATCTTTTAGAAGCACAGAAACGGCTTTCTGGAGCTCAATATCAGCCAAGCCACTGACGTGAAAGAAAGTTAAGATTTCAGAAATCAGCAGTTTGCTTCCAACTGGATGTCTTGGACCCTTCCCGTCATGCACGTTCTTCCAACCAACATGTCATTGTTCCTGCTTCTGCACCTAACTTTCACAACCTCTCTCCTGATAAGTAACCTTTCTTCTAGGCATTCTGATGAGACCAAAGGAAGAGAACGGTAAAAAATGTTGTCACCAGTGAAGTTGTGCCACTCGTGTCTGTAGCTGTAGCCGTGGCTTTGAATTCTAGCCACCTGAATCTACAAAGGAGGAAACTGAACATTGGTGCTCTGACAGATCCTTCCAAATTGCTGGTAATCAATTAGTTCACCTTTTGTTATACACAAACACACACACAAACGCAATCAATGAGTTCGTCTTGGTTACAGACACACACGCACTTTAGTTAATCTGTAAGGCCCCTGCTACATGTCACATACATTATGCAATTAGCTAGTTAATCGTGCAATAAACTTAGGCCACAAGTGCAAAGTAATTATCACACAATTAACTGATTAATTAATCAATACTTTTAGACCGGCCACATGTGCCAACTACTTATCACAGCCATAACAAGAGCCAACCAGCTATGAAGTTAGTGCTTGAAAATTTCATAGATTTCATAAATTCATAGACATTAGGGCTGGAAGGGACCTTGGAAGATCATCGGGTCCAGGCCCCTGGCCCAGGGGCGGGAAGCCAGCTGGGGTCATAGGATCCCAGCAATATAAACACCCAAATTTCTCTTGAAGGCATTCAAAGTAGGTGTTTGAACCACCTCCGGCGGCAGGCCATTCCAGACCTTGGGGGCTCGGACAGTAAAGAAGTTCTTCCTTACGTCCAGCCTGAAACAGTCTTGCAGGAGTTTATAACCATTCAACCTTGTCATTCCTTGGGGTGCTCTGGTGAACAAACGTTCCCCTGGATCCTGGTGAGCACCCCTTATAAACTTATAGGTGGCCACCAGATCGCCCCTGAGCCTGCGGTTTTCCAGGCTGAAGAGTCCCATGGCTCTCAGCCTCTCATCATAAGGTCTGTTTTCCTGACCTCTGATCATGTGCGTGGCTCTCCTCTGCACTCTCTCAAGCTTCTCCACTTCCTTTTTGAATTGTGGAGCCCAAAACTGAATGCAGTACTCCAGCTGCGGCCTCGCCAAGGCCGAGTACAATGGGCAATTGACGTCCTGGGATTTGCTTGAGAAGCATCTGTGGATGCAAGCCAGCATTTTGCTCGCTTTACTAGCCGCAGCATCACATTGAAGGCTCATGTTCATCTTGTGGTCAATCCTGACCCCCAAGTCCCCAGTGCTAGTCAACGTAGCACTGCTGAGCCTATAGACATGCTGCAGGTTTTCCTCCCAAGGTGAACAGCCTTGCATTTTTCAGTGTTGAACACAATCAGGTTCTCATCCGCCCATTTACTGAGCCTGTCAAGGTCAGCCTGGATCACCACCCTGTCCTCAGATGTGGATGCTTTACCCCAGAGTTTGGTATCATCGGCGAACTTGGCCAGTCCGCTTCTGACTCCAATGTCCACATCATTAATGAAGAGGTTGAACAAAGTAGGTCCAAGGACAGAGCCTTGAGGGACCCCACTGGTCACAGGCACCATGATGAGTGACTTCCGTCAACCACCACCCTCTGGGTCCGACCACAGAGCCAGTTCCCCAGCCAGTGGATCATGGTGGACCTGAGGCCACAGTTAGCCAGTTTTGCCAAAAGGTGATCATGGGATACCAGATCGAAGGCTTTTTTAAAGCCAAGATATATGACATCAATCTCTTCCCCCTTGTCCAGGTGATAGGTTACCTGGTAACAAAAGGAAATGAGATTGGTCAAGCAAGACCTGCCCACAACAAACCCGTGCTGGCTATCCCTCAGGATGTTGCCGTCAGTTAGTCTGTTAAGAATGGCCTCTTTGATAATCTTTTCCAAGACCTTCCCCGGGATAGAGGTCAGGCTGATGGGCCTGTAGTTTGCCGGGTCCACTTTCCTCCCTTTCTTGAAGATAGGCATCACATTGGCCTTCTTTCAATCATCAGGCACTTCACCAGAGTGCCAGGAGCTCCCGAAGATCCATGCCGGGACTGGGCTATGATGCTTGCCAGCTCCTTGAGTACTCTGGGATGTAAATTGTCAGGGCCGGCTGACTTGAAGGTATCCAACCTGTCAAGGTGTTCCTTCAAGAGGTCAGCATTGATGGAGGACAAGGAACCACCCTCACTCAGCCGTCCCTGTCCCGTAATGGGCAGGGGCATCCCATGGGACTTGTGAAAGACCGATGCAAAGTACCCATTTAGCAAGTTGGCGTTTTCTTGGGCGTCGGTCATCTGTTGTCCCTTCTGGTTTAGCAGGGGTCCAATGTTGCCCTTGCTTTTCCTCTGGCTCCTCACATATCTAAAAAAGGACTTTTTGTTGTCCTTGATATTTGTAGCCAGTTGGATTTCCATCGCAGCCTTGGCTTTCCTGGTTTGCTCTCTGCAGGTCCGGACCAGAGCAGAGTATTCCTCCTTGGAGGTGGATCCTGTCCTCCATCCTTTGTAGGTGTTCATAGATGATTCATAGATGTAGGGTCGGAAGGGACCTTGTAGATCTCCTAATCCGAACCCCTGCCGTGGGCAGGAGAGAGGAGGTCTTTCTTTTTAGATGCAGGAGGTCCGCTAGTTCCCTGGAGAGCCAAGGGGGCTGCTGTGCCCTCTTACTGCCTTTCCTTCGAGATGGAATAGCCTTAGCTTGTGCATCTAGGATCGCTCCCTTGAGGAGCAACCACTCATCCTGGACTCCCCTCCCTTTGGGGTCATGGTCCCTTAGGCCCTCACTGACAAGTCTCCTGAGCGTGTCAAAGTCAGCCCTCCTGAAGTGAAGGACCTCTGTACTGCTGACTGACTTGACAGCTTTTCGGCGGATGGTGAAGGTGATCAGCTCGCGGTTGCTGTCACCCAGCTTCCCTTTGATCATTAGGTTGCTGATTAGATCGTCCCTGGTTGCCAGTACCAGGTCGAGCAGCGCTTTGCCTCTTGTTGGCCCATAGACTTCTTGAGTCAGGTAGAGCTCATCCACACACGTGAGAAAGCTTTGCAACCATTTGGATTTGGCCGAGCGCTCTTCCCACGAGATGTCTGGGTAGTTGAAATCTTCCATGACAACCGTGGACCGGGAGCGTACAGCCTCAGCCAATTCCCTGGCAAACTCCTGATCAAGGTCTTAACCCTGGGAAGGGGTCTGTAGTAGACTCCCACTATTGTATCCCCTGTGCCATGTTCCCCATGGATTTTAA